TCCAAAATTTAGAGATAGACCGGAAGGGGAAGGATATAAGGCTTTTGAATTTCGATAAATGTTACATGGAGTAATGACACATAAATGCCCATACACGTCGACTGCAAAGAAGTGCTGTCGGTTGAAGAGTAGCTTTCAACTCTAGTTTCTAGTTGGGGGTTGTGGATTCGATCTTGGGGCTAAAAGAGTCATTTTTAGATTAGCCTCTTCGTTTTCGAACATCAGCCTTTTTTAAAGTTTGATTAGAAAAGGAAAAATATAAACTCCGCCAATTTAATTTTGTTACTTTTAATAGCTTGAATATTTATTTTAGATGGGTTCAATACCTGATAACGCTTCTATTTAGCTATTAGTTCCAATTTTTAAAACAGAGTTTGAATCACATTTAAAATTTGCTAAGTCTTGTTTAATGAAGGGTGATGATGGATAAATCCGTGACTTTTTCAATTAGACAAAACCGGGTAGATATAGTTCGCAATACTCAAAGTCGAAATTCCTGAAAGATACACAATCGGAATGGGGTGGAGCTTATTAACTGTTTCGTTCTTAATATAAATATTTATCTCATCTTGAGGTGATCTCCAAACCCAGGAAAGAGGTTCAACCGGTTCTAATACATAACAAAGCCACGTTTGGAGGGACAAGCAGGCTTCAAAACCGCTATTTGTTTCGACTTCGGACAAAGATGAGATAAATATTTACGTTTTGGTTGTTAGCTCAGTTAGCGATGTAAATGGACTACAACCAGTTAGCAGCTAACTTCGCTACGTCTCCAAAGAAAAAGACAACATTTTGTCCAATACACAACTGGAATGAGGCGGAACTTCTTAACTGTTTCGTTTTCAATATAAATATTTGCTCATCTTGAGATGTACTCCAAAGCCAAGAAAGAAGTTCAGCCAGTTCAGATACGTAACAAGCACTGCTTGAAGAGAGACCAGCAGGCTCTAAAATTGATGTTTAGATTTTTGATGAAAATGATAGTCCCACTACCAATGATGAAATTACAGCACTAATTAAAAGGCTCAAACCTAGAAAGGCACCAGGAGGTGACCAAATCACTAACAAAATGATTAAAAATTTACCAACAAATTGCATTAATTTTATAACTAATATCATTAACGCTTGCCTTAAATTATGCTATTTTCCCACTAAATGGAAAGAAGCCACTGTTATTCTTTTCCCAAAACCTCTTAAAGATCCAGTAATGCCTCAAAATCATAGACCTATAAGTTTACCCCCCTCATTAAGCAAAATATATGAACGAATAATCTATTACAGAATTGAAGACAAACTCATAACACTACCCGACGAACAGTATGGGTTCAGGAAAAAATTAAGTACTACTAAACAGTTAATTAGAATAATTGAATTCATCGGCCAAGCCATTAAAAACAAGCAATGCTCAGCATTTTTAATGCTAGATGTAACAAAAGCTTTTGATAGAGTCTGGCATGCTGGACTCATCAATAAACTGATTAAATTAAACTTTAATAGTGACCTAATTATTCTACTAAAAAACTACCTAAGCAACAGCTCATTTAAAATTAAAATCGATGATACACTTTCAACTAGGCGTATTATTAAAGCTGGGGTCCCCCAAGGAAGTATCATTGAACCCATTCTTTATCTATTTTTTACACAAGATTTTCCAATTAACAGAACCGATCACAACTGCCTCACTGCCTTCTTTGCAGATGATACAGGAATTATTATTAAGTCAAAATCTGCAAATAATGCCTTATTAAAACTACAGGATAACATCAGCACACTTGAAACTTGGTGCTCAAATTGGAAAATTGATATTAACGCTCAAAAATCCAAAGTGCTTATTATTAAAAAGCCAAGAAGCCAAATTATTACAAATACTCTAACCTTTTATGAAAACCAAATTCCAATTGTTAACCAAGCTACATATTTAGGTCTCACAATTAATAATAAATTAAACTGGGACGATCATATTAATAATATTCTTGGTAAAGCCCATGGCATTAATAATAAACTGAAATGTATCCTTGGACCCTTTTCAAAAATGTCCCTTAAAAACAAAAAATTCATATACACAACATATATTCGACCGATCTTAACTTATGCATCCCCAGCCTGGTGCAACTTGAATAAAAAGCAAACAAAGAAATTAAATACTTTCCAAAATAAAATTCTAAGAAAAATGAGTGGAATGCCATACTTCATAAGAAATAGTGCCATCCATAGAGATTTCCACATTAAAACCTTAACTGAAACAATTGTTGATCTAAATTCCAAATTTTTTAAAAA